ACCTAACCTGGTGACCAAAAGGAAAATAGCCATTGGGTGAACGCAGGCTGCACAGCGCCCTCACTGGGCTGCTTTCCTCTTCTTGCTCTTGCTCTTTCTGCCCCTCTTCTTCGGTCCAGCTCTGTCCGCCCTGAGCAGGTTTGAATTGGCCATCTGAAACTCGTTTACTTCTTTCAAGCTCACCATCGTCCTGATCTTCTTTTATCCATCAGTAGTGGGGTTTTTTTAAATTATTCTGTTGGGGGCTTTTACAGCTCTTATGATAATCCACACATATATCCATTGTGTCAAGCACACCTGCACATATGTTGCCATCATCCTTTTCAAGACAGTTTCCGTCTACTTGAACCCTTGGTATCAGCTCCTCGTTTTTTTCCCTTCCCTCCCCACTCCTCCCTCTCCATGAACCTTTGACAATTCATAATTTTTTGCCATGTCTTACACCAACCGTTGTCTCCCTTCACCCACTTTTCTGTTCATCGTAGATCTTAACAGATGTTTGTTGTCAGAAGGCTCAAAGGAATCCACAGAACCTTTCCTTGCAATGGCTCTAGTTCAACCATATTTTATTTCTTTATTTATTCATTTATTTCTTTATTTATTATTGTGATTTCTTTTTTAAGTAAAAAATGAATCAGCCAAGACATTTTGCCTCACAATAGCATTTTAAGCTTCAAAGGGGGAAAGTAATGAGCGATACATATTTCCATTTTTCAGTTTTATGACCTTCTAATTAAGGTCCACAGACGCTAAGCAGCTCTTAAACTTAGGCTTCATGATCCTTTTGACTTCATGCTTTTAAGTGGAGTTATTTATCTGCAAAACATGACAAATTTCAGAACCTGTTAAAATTATTTAATTCAGATTATATTTTCCAAAAGAGAGGGTTCCTTCCCCAGATTTAAGACCTGAAAATTTGAAGATAGCACTTAGCTTCCTATTTGTGGCAAATCCTAGGAGTTACCATACTGGCATTCCACTTGAATCAAGAGTGGAAAAATAGAGCCGCCCAGTCCCTCAGGAAGTTGAATTATTTCAAGCATAAAGACCACATATGGTTGATATTTCAGAATCAGGAAAACCTAATACAATTTTTCTCCTGTCACTTGCTGTGAGGCTGTTTTCTCCAGCCTCCAAGCCACCAAGCAGTTGAACATGGCCCAGCGGCTCTGCTGAGTGGCAGAAACCCGAAGCCAACAACTAGAAATTCTACTGCCATAGTCCAAGAATTTCCTGAACTTTCAGGACCGTGGCTGCCCCGGAAATGCTTTCCCATCATATGTCTTTAGGGTGATGAATACACTTTTGGAAGAGCCTGGTCAAGTCCTCCAAGAACTACTCGTTCTACAGCAGCACCATTCCAGGACTAGCCACTCTGTACCATCAGTATAAACGCCCTGAAAGACGGAGCTTTCTGCTCCTGTAAACAGTTACAGGCTCAGAAACCCACAGGGGCAGTTCTACCCTGTCCTATAGAATCACTATGAGTCAACGTAGACGCAATGGCAGTGAGTTTATGAGCATGTTAATTATAGTTTTCGAAATTTGGAGACTGGTCATTTCAAATTTTGTGCCAATTTTAGACTGATTTTAATGTTTGCTTGCTTTTTCAAGCTATATCTTTTCTTTAGTTTGGCAAATAGTTTTTTAATCGTTTTATTGAGATATAATTAGCTTATCTTACAGCTCAATAGCTCAGTCATATCAATGAGTTGTGCAATCATCACCACATAAACTGGAACACTGTCGTCCTTCTTATTGCTGTTGACTCCCCATTTCCCCCAACCTTCCCTTCCATGCCCCCAGGTGAATATTAATCCAGTTGCTGTCTTCTTAAATCTATTTACCCTGACTTAGATCCACTTATAAAGAAAAACAAGCTGGAATTATGTATTAAGTAAAAAGTGAACGTAAAAATGAGGTAAACAAATAGGCATTTAGCATGACTTTTGTTTTTATCTAGTTAGACGTTAGGCTGCCTTTGTTGTGATTATCAGTTGCTCTCATGCTCTTTCTGTTGTAATCCCATTATTTGTGAGGGCAAGCCAGTCCCTAACACTAGCACGGGTTCATAGGCACAAATGTACGGTTATGTTATGTAAAGATTATAGTAAAGTCAGAGAATAAGAGGGATAGGAGAGAGTGACATAAAGGAGTCAGACACATTTCATGGTAACATGCTCACCTCCTAGATGGCCAGGATGTCAGCAGCCAGGTCCACGCAGAGAGTGGGAGGATGGGGAGGGAAGAGAGATCATCTCTCTCTTCATTTCTGACCAGGGCTTATATGTACTTAGGGACATGATTACAGGTAACCACACACGACACAGGAAGGTGCTGTACAATAGGCATACACGTGACAGGAAGGGGATGAGCTAGGGGTGTACACGCAATAGGAAGGGGAGGGATTAGGGGTATACATGTGATAAGATGGATGGATCCTAGACTCAATATGGCAGCCTAACCTTGGTCAGCCTTAAGTGGGCTTGACCTCCCTAGGCTCTCCTTCAGGAAAACAATCTACTCCTTATCAGAAGGGAGTGGGTCCCACTTAGGGTGGGACAGACTATACAGCAGTGGTTCTCAACCTTCCTCATGCTGCCACCCTTTAATACAGCTCCTCATGTTGTGGTGACCCCCCAACCATAAAAATTATTTTTGTTGTTACTTCATAACTGTAATTTTGCTACTGTTATGAATCAGGCGACCCTGTGAAAGAGTTGTTCAACCCCCAATGGGGTCACAACCCACAGGTTGAAAACTGCTGCTATATAGTCTAATTGCTCTAGATGGCTGATAACCCTGAGGGACCTGCTTGCAATGACCTCCAAGTGCACAGTCATTTACCATGTGTAGCAAGCAGCCTTACATTTGGCATATATTTTGGGGAGACAACCTGTGGATCCCTCAAGTCTTGTCTTTGAATGTATAGAAAATATCCTTCTTAGCTGATCAACATCTGAAGAAATGTTTCCCTTAAACCCTTGCAAATGTGTTCTAATCAAATCCCAATCATGCAATGTCTTATTATATGGGTAAGGGGTTATTTAAAAAATCAGTTACATTCCAATCACATTTTAGCGTTAATTGATGTTGCAAGTCCATAATTTGATCTCCCAAGCATTGGACGGTTTGCTGCAGCCCCACTACTTTCCTCTCTAGTTCATCGTCCACCTTTGCCTGAGTGGCCCAGAGCTGATGTGAGTTCACATGCCACTTCTGTATGAAATGTTCAGTTTTGATGGACTTATAGCGCTCCCCCAGTGATGGCAGCAGTGGTGGCAATTGCTGTAAGTTCAGTTATAGCTGCGATAACCATTCCCACGAATCAGCGAGGTCTTTTCAGCATCTCCAACATCACTTGCACCATCAAGGACAATTCTGGGCTGCTCTCCCATCTGGGCGTCATCTCCACTGGGATCCACACCCCCACCCTGCCCCTTAGGATGAGGACTCTGTCTTTAGAGAGGTTTATAGCAGAGTATGGTTAATATAAGTGAACAATTTACAATTATGGCAAGTGGAGCTTCGCTTCTACTGTGACCAGTTTCATGTATAATGATGTTTCCTACAGCAAGCACATAAGGAAGCTTTACACATGAGACTGTATCGAGTCTCATTCTTCTGAAAAGCATAAATATAGCCAGATAGACTTGTGCCAGTAAAGCTCCCTGTATAACCTTTCAAAGGCTTCGTGGCAAGAGGTAATTTCAAAAGGTCCCACTGTTCAGGTCCTGTCACAGGATTCTGTAACCTGGGGTGAGGAGGTGCCAGGCCCCCTTCATGCCAGGCCATTAACTTTGCCCTGGTAGTAGCAATGCCATTAAGGGTCTTTTGCCTCTCACAGTCACTGATATAATCACATGAGATAATGTAGGATTTCTCAGCAGTTATTTGGAAATTTTCCATGTGGGCCCCAATCAATAACAGAGTGTCATTTCTTAACACCTTCCATGTGGCCCCTGACATTTGAGCCATTTGAGTCTGTTGGCAGCAACATGCTGGTAACTCATCATTTTACAGGCTTACATGTCTCCTCTTCCCTCCATTGTAGTGGAGTTTTCATATTCTGCATATGCTTCACCCTTTATCATGTACAAGCCATGGCTGGTTTCATTAAAGACCAGCCAGTTATTCCATGCCTGAGAATTAATGGCTAAACAGCTAGGGCTGGTGCCCACATAAAGGCAAAGTTTCAAAACCTAGAGTGAAATTAAAATGTTTGCCTTCTTCTTTGGGGTGCCTGGTTTTTCCCTCAACTCTCAGGTCATGCATCAGTTTCCCTCCTTTCTTCTGGGCCTTTCTGGCTGAATAGAATCCACCTATCTCCTTTGCCTGTGAAAACATAAATAAATCACCCCTCCCTTTGTGGGGTCAGCAACCTGGAAACAGAATCATGGTTAAGATTGGGTGGTTTCTACAACTTCTCTTCCTTGTCCTTCGTCTTTCTCCAAACATGGTTGTGTCCTCTTAAGGGGAGTCCATCTGCTTTCATCTGCAAAAACATAAATGTATAGTCCTTCCTCCAGGTGATAAATGGACCTGGATCCCAAATGCGATTTCTATCTTCTTGAACAGTTGCTACAGAAATGGGCTCCAATAATACATCAACCGTGAGGACGGTACAGGAGCAGTTAGCGTTACGTTTCCTGTCATACACAGGGCAGCCATGAGTAGGAGCTGATTCCAAAGCAACGAATTCACTGCCATCTTATCAATTACAACCCACAGAGACCCTAAAACACTGAGCAGAGTCACCTCTGTGGGTTTCCAACGCTGTAACTCTTTATGGGAATAGAAACCCTCCTTCTTCTCCCACCAAAGCAGCTAATACCAATAAAAAAACAAAACAAAATTCAAGACATGCCATAATGACTTTAAATCTGGCTCTGAGCATTTAGTAGTTTATTTTTCTGGCTTACACTAATTCTTTCCCACAAAATATATGAGAAAAACAAACAAATAAAAGAGATTTTGATCATTTCCCCCCTCAAATATGTTTTATTCTTTAAACCTTTTGAGGTGTTTCCATCTGGCCTTAGGAAGACAACATAGCACTTTGGGGCAAAGATGCAGCCAGAAGCCCCATGCTGGAGGCCAAGATGGAGAAGATCTCCACAGCCACCATGACCTTGCCCCGACTGCTGTGGTAGACAGGGAAGAAGGTCACCCAGACACTGCAGAACACCAGCATGCTGAACGTCAGGAACTTGGCCTCATTGAAGGTATCAGGCAAGTTTCTGACCAGGTAAGCCAAGGAAAAGGCTCCCAAGGCCAAGGATCCCAGGTATCCCAGGACGCAGTAGAAAGCAGTGACTGAGCCCTTGTTGCACTCAACGATGACGCTCCTGGGTTCAGAGGATGAGTCTATGTCAATGAAAGGGGGTGAGATCCCCAGCCAGATGCCACAAATAATGAACTGGGTAAGGAAAGATGGGAACCACGGAGTTTACAACCCCAGACACCAGCAGCTGCCTCAGAATTCCTCCAGGTCTCAAGATCATGAAGGCCAGAATCACAGTGATGGTTTTGGCCAAAACAGTGGAAACAGCTACAGTGAATACGACTGCGAAGGAGATATTGCTGAGGACGCAGGTGACTGTGTTTGGATGGCTGATGAAGAGTAAGGAGGAGAGGAAGCAGAGGAGGAGGGAGAGGAGCAGGACATAGCTGAGGGCCCGGTTGTTGGCCTTGACTATGGGGGAGTCTCGGGACTTCACAAAGACCCACAAAACCATGGCAGTGATGACAGAGAAGCCCAGAGCTGTGCAGGCCAGAGCCATTCCCAGTGGGTCTTGATAATCCAGGAAGGTCACACTTTTGGGTAGACAGCGATTCCTCTCCATGTTGGGGTACTGACTTTGGGGGCACTCCATACATTGATCACTATCTAGAGAGAAAAGTGAGAGGGAATATGAGACAGAGGAAAGAGCGACGTATGTCAAATCTCATGGTGGTCACGTAAAAGGGTTTTTTTGTTTGTTTTAATGTTCTCTACATCCACCTGACAATTGTGATTTTTAAAAACCCATGTATCATCTGTCCATAAAAAGTTAGGTGACTTGTCAAAATAATTTTTTGTTGCCTTTGAGTCAGCTCGACCCATGGCATTCCCAGAAGTCCAGGGCAGAACATTGCTCCATCAGTTTTCCGTGTCTTTGAACTCTAGAAGCAGATCAATAGGCCTTTTTTTCTGAGGCACATCTGCGTGGGTTGAGAATATAGTTGCCTACTTAACCGTCTGTGATACCTAGGGTTTCTTAAAGGCTCATAGAAGTTAGAGAAATATCTTGTGGAATTTTGTCAGTTCATACCTGTTTGATTAGATATTCCTCTTTCTGGACACAAAATGCAATCAAAGCAGCAGGAAGGCTTCCCCTCCTGAGGAATTTTCTGGGGTCCCAAGCCACAATTCTTGCTACACACAGAGCAGGGAGTCTGAAAGAAAAGAATCATTGATAATGATTCAATAACATTGCATGAAGGAATCGTTTCTTACCATGTAATAATGTTGATTAATACTGTTTTGTTGTTATTAAGTGAAATTGAATAATATTTTGTTGTGAAGGGATCCTGACTCATGATGGCCCTAGTGATCCAGACTGGTAATGTCTCTAGTGATCTAGTACTGGTAATGTCCCTAGTGATCCAGACTGGTAATGACCCTAGTGATCCAGACTGGTAATGTCCCTAGTGATCCAGACTGGTAATGTCCCTAGTGATCCAGACTGGTAATGTCCCTAGTGATCCAGACTGGTAATGACCCTAGTGATCCAGACTGGTAATGACCCTAGTGATCCAGACTGGTAATGTCCCTAGTGACCCAGACTGGTAATGTCCCTAGTGATCCAGACTGGTAATGTCCCTAGTGATCCAGACTGGTGATGACCCTAGTGATCCTGACTCAATGGTCTTAAAAGTCAAAGTCCAATCGCCCATTTGCATTCCAAGACTGTAATCTTTACATAAGCAAATCACAGCCTTTCTTCTCTTCTAACTGCAATAGGTTCCAACTAAGAACCTTTCAGGTGGCCCTTAACTTGTGCACCACCAGGGCTCCTCAACACTGCTTTCAATGCCTCACAGCTTACTTTTGAAATTTTACCATAATGGTTGCACACAGGGAGGTAAAAACAATACATGGATCCGTTCTGTTCATTCAAATCAACTAGAATCCTTTTCCTGTCCTGGGGGGAATGAATAAAGCCAGTTTCAAAAAGTGTGTCCAAGTCATCGAAATTTGAGGTCACCAGATTATGTCATGCCCTGTTTCTGTACACAGTGGTCCCTGGGTGGTTTGTGCTTAACTAGGAACTGAAAGTTTGGCTGAGTTCACCTAACAGGACTACACCGTGTGGGAAATCTGCTTCTATAAAGACTTGAGTCAATGGAACCCTATTGGTCCTAGTTGTGCTCTGTCACAGGCTACAGTTATGAGTCAGAATGACCCTGACAGCAACTGGTTCAAGGTTTTGTTTTATTTTGTTTGTTGTGCTTCTCAAACGGTAAACGTTCAACCACTTTCTTGTGTATCTCAAACAGCAAACTTTCAACTGCATTCAGGAAATATACTTTCTGTTGTTCTTCTTCATGGGCTTTTCTTTTACTTTTCTTTTTCCAACCAGTTCATTGGCATATAATCCACATATCATACAATTCAAAAGTTCAATCACATCAAGAAGAGTTGTACAATCACCACTGCCATCGGTTTTAGAATATTGTCTTCATTATTGTACTCACTGTTCTTACCTACCCACTTCACCACAACCTCCCCTACCATAGGAGGTTCCCAAGGAACAATTAATTCAGGTACTATATCTCTGTAGATGTACTTATCCTGGATTTCATGTACACAAAGACATTACAAAACAAATAAACAACAGTAACAATACACTAGCAAGAATAACAAAGTAAAAGAGATTGAAAGCCTCAAATAAAAAGTGGGTTATAGTGGATAAAGTTAGATTACAAATGCAGCATCCTATCATTTGATTTCCCTTAAGATCCATTGAAATTTGTAATGTTTTTAGTATTTTCATGTACAAATTTTAAACATTTTCTGTGTTCTTGTCAATAAACACTCTTTCCGCTTATCTGAGCAGTTAATAAATAATTGTTTTAAATCAGTTCACCAGTCAGAATCTATTTGAGGCGATAGATACAAATATATCTTCCTGAAAGTGATTCTCACCAAATATTGACTTCTACACTCTGACCAAATCCACCCAGTGATGTTCAGAAGAAAAAAAAAAAACCTGAGCACCTGCTTCTATAAAGAAATGACGGGGGACGGACAACAAAAAAGTGGGTGAAGGGAGATGTCAGACAGGGCAAGATATGACAAAATAATAATTTATAAATTATCGAGCGCTCATGAGGGAGGGGGGAGCAGGAGGGAGGGGAACAAATGAGGA